CCGGAGAGTCCTAGCTCATCTATCCGAGCTAAATCTTCTCGTAGAGCTCGAGCTGGAGCACGAGCAAATCCCGGTGGATCGCCCTTTGCGTATTCAAAGAATGAGCGCGAGCGCCCGATCGACGCAGCCCGAGTGGACGCTTCACCTGGACAATGCAGAAACATATTCAGACAGAGGTTCAGGGAAAGATGCGAGGATGCCATGAAGCGGGACAAAAGTCGAGCTTTGGATAGAGCCAGACAAAGAGCTTCGGCGATTCTTGCGCGGAGGGGGGATGTGCAGAGCGAAGGGGAAGAGGAAGAGGAGGATGGTGGTAGAGCTTCGGCGCTCTTTTTCAGCGATGAGATTTTGGCCAGTGAGGATGAGGAGCAGGATAGGATAGACGACGAGGTGAGCGTCGCAATGTGTTCTCTTGTCTTTTCAGCCAGCCATCGAAGCAAAAGGGCATGCTGACAACTTTCACGCGCTCTTACTCATTGGCGATGACACGCTCAGCTCTTGCGCCGAAGAATGTTGGCAGAGTATAAGCGCATGCTCAGAGCTCAGGAGCGTTCTGGTCGAGATGAGCTAGGCTGGTTGGACGCGGACATGGTGGCATGGCTGCAAGACGAGTCTACCAGTAAGTCCAGCAAGCTTTCTTGACCCATGCACGCTTTCCCATTTGCTCACATTCCCTCTCATCTCCTTCCTCCTCGACACCGACAGACGATCAAGGGCCGATGATCGAGTCTCAACCACAACCTCCAGCAGGAATGGAAGATGAAGAAGCGTATTGGGCTAGTCTGTACGAACAATCTCTCGAAGAATCATCTCGAGGCAAGGCTAGCACGGATCTGGCTGGACAAGTGGATAATCACGCTTCTTTGACGTCGTGCTCTGAGGAGGAGGAGGAGGAGGATGAAGCGTTTTGGGAACAGGTCTGGGATTTAGCACGCGCAGACGAGATGAATGTGCAAATACCTTTGGAAGAGATGGACATGGACTTGTCTTGAGATTGGGTCGATCTACCCTTCCAACCTTTTCAAGCACTAGAAACTCCGAATGGACGAGCGCAGCGACCCAGGTTTCTTGGGGATTAGACCCCAATCCCTGACTCGGCCTTTCCCCGGTCTAGCGTGACAGGACTCGTAGCTGGACTCATCGCAGTGCACGACCCACCTCCGACATACCTGCAGTATTTTTCGCACATGAGCAGAACCAACACGAACGGACTGCCACCAAGCAGCGCGCCAGCGCGCGCATGGAAGGTTGAATTCTTCAAGCTTGACGAAGCCTAAGCGTGCGTTTCAGTCTAGCTAGCCAGCCAACTTCGTACCAGCACACCGCACTGGCCCCCCCAACGACGAACTCTCGCGCGCGCGCGCGCGCGTCAAGATGGCTTTTGGTGCACCGAAGCATCGTTCCGCATGGATCGTCGCTCATCCTTCCATTCAACCATCAGCTCGCCACATGCAATTCGAGACGCTGCATGCAGATCAAGTCGATGAGAAACAAGGCCGTGCAAGTAAAATGCAGCACGGATCCGGACCGGACCGCCCTGTCGCTCAGAGCTGGTGCGAGGTGTACAGAAGCCCTCGAATGGACCGTCGAGGGGATGCAGACGCTTACGTCTTGCCAGCGCGTCTTACAATGCATCCCACCCCCTCCCCAAATTCCATCAATCGCAAAAAGGCAAAAAGGTGTCCTTGACCCTTCATCTTGTCTAACGCGCATCATCAGCCCCACATTCGCATCATCCGCGCCAACCTTGCGCGCACACAGCGGAGCGCGCGTATACAGATCGAAATCAGACGTAGCAATGCGCACATGCGATCTTTGCCCCCCCCCAAAGGAAGGAAAACAAAAAAGTGTGCCAACGCATCTTCATTTCCAGCGAGCTTTCCTTCGGAAACATTCTCCTGAATGGGGGCGCGCGCCCCCGTCGCCTATCTCTTGGCCTTTTTGCTAGGTCTAGATTTTCCATCTTTCTCTCTAGAGGCAGATCCCGATCCCGATCCCGATCCATTGCCGGCAAGGAGGCGCTGCATAACCCTCTTGACTTCCCCATCCGGCAAATTGTCCGGGCTGTAGTAAGCTGGGGTCGTGAAGCAGAGCATGGATATTGGGGGGGAGTGCGACTAGTCAATATGGTGCTCGGCGGTAGAAGCGCAGAGAAGCAAAAGATGCGCGGGGCGGGGTGCTAGCGAGAAGAAAGTGTAGCGTACTCACTCGGCGCAAATTCGAGCAGCCATTCGGGGCGCGTTTCTGTGATGGTGCGGATGAACTGAGTGGACATGAAGAAAGGTTAGGTGTCCCGGGAACGGGGGATAAGAACAGGGAGTGCAAAAGGCAAAGACAAAAAGATGGGCGAACATCAGTATGCGCACCCAAAGAGTCTAGCGCGTCTGCCCCCATCTCCGGGAGCCCACAGATAGACTTTGCGCCAAAGCACTCACATTTCTCGTGGTCAAGACGAATTCGTGGTAGATCAAGAATTGGGGCATGGTCTCTATGGTGGTGCTAGGATGAGGAGCAACGACTTGTCCGTCCATCGTCGCATAGCTTCCCTTGGATCCCGCCGCCTCTTTGTGTGCTACTTGCATAAAGAACCTGAGGGCATTCCATCGCGCACGCACACCACCAAAGGAGAGGGGGGGGAGAAAAAAAAAAATTGACAGGTTCGATGTGATCTGAGCAAGGCCTTCTTTTGGCTCGTTGCAAAAAGTTAAGAAGAGCCAAAAAAGATGCCTACTCACCCGCAAGTGATGGCCTGTCTGATCTGCGTGTAGTACTTCTTGCTCTCAAAGGGAGTAGACACGAGGTCCAAATCGAACCTCTGCATCGTCCTGCTCAATTGCGATCTGACATTATCCGCCTGTTGCAAGGTTCTGTACGAGAGGTAATTCTGCCAGCACCAGTTCGAAGCGGTGCTTGGGTCTGGGCAATCTTTGGCGTCCAAGTAAGAAAAGCACACGTGCGTGTCAGCATTCGCGGGACTCAGCGCAACGATAATAGCCCATCAAGGTAAAGGGAACGACATTGTGCAGTCTCCGTCGTGCGCGTACTCACTGCTTTTGTACGCATGATAGACATTGAGCAGGGTCAAATGATCACCTTCAGGGTGCGCAAAGACGTTCCTAGCCGCATCCGCCTGAGCCTTTTGATTGTTGGGTCTCACGAATACATTGGGCACACTCAGCATGGCCGCAACGGTCAAGATTTCGTTGGAGCACTTGAACTCTGGCGAGACGATGAGCATCTTGGCTAATTGAGGATCCAGTGGAAATTCGGCCATAATCTCGCCCAGAGGTGTCAGGTTGCCTTCGTCGTCGAATGCTGCTAGGTACTGCAAGTTGGAAGGGAGGGGGGCAGCCGAAGCGCATTGCACAAGTCGCAAGCCCGGTCAACCTCGAACGTGCGCCCATAATTCCTAGGCACAAAAGCGAAACTCACATTCAAAAGCTCAAGAGCTCGCATGATGGTCTCGGGTGCTGCGAGAAGGAATGCAACGCAAATGGTGAGGGTCAGCATCTGCTGCGTGGGCCGGAGCAGCTCTTTCGAGCTCGTAAATCTTGCCACTACGATGCCAGCAGGACCTTCGCTCCCGAGGGACTTTAATTTTTTTTCCACGCGCTCTTCGACAGAACAGCGCTTCCATATCGCCTCGACGACGATGCACGCTACATCATCGCTCCTGCCCTGCACACTCACCAGGAGGGTCCATATAATCAAAGGTGACCAAATTATCAATGCCGAGTTTCTTGAGTTCCAACACGGTATTAGCTAAGTTGCTCCTCAAAATCTCCGGATACGTCTGCTCGATGAGTTCTCCAACGAAATCTTTTTCAGTGTACAATCTAAAGCATTTTCCGGGACGCGTTCTTCCCGCTCTTCCCATGCGCTGTTGCGCCGAAGCTTTGGAGATGGGCGATACCAGCAGAGACTCCACACGGATCCTGGGATTGTACACTTTTTGCTTCGAGAAGCCAGGATCGACGACATACACGATGCCATCTATGGTCAACGACGTTTCCGCAATGTTGGTGCTGATCACCACTTTGCGACCTGGTGGTCCATCCGCTTTCAACCTCTCCGGAGCCGGCTCAAAGATCTTTTGCTGAGCTGCCGGTGGCAGAGACGAGTATAGCGGCACCACTTTCAGTGGTCCGCAAAGGTCCGGTTGAGTGGCTGACAATTCGTCCGCTTCCGCCTTGATCTTTCTGCAGGCATCTTCGATCTCTTCTTCACCCGTGAGAAAGACGAGTATATCGCCCTCATCCTCTGCTTGATGAATCTGCAGCACTGTGCGTATAGCAGCTTCGAGGTAGTCTGGTTCAGGCTCGGGCGTGTAGTACGTCTCTACTGGAAAAGTTCGTCCAGGCACCCTCAAGAGGGGCGCATCGTTGAAATACTTTTGAAACTTCAACGCGTCCAATGTAGCGCTCATGACGATGATTTTGAGATCTTCTCTTCGTTTAGCCACATCCTTGAGCAGACCCATGAGAATGTCCGTAGCCAAAGTTCTTTCGTGCGCTTCGTCGAGGATGATGCAGCTGTAGCGCGAGAGGGTATGATCATTCATCGCTTCACGCAGCAACATTCCGTCGGTCATGTACTTGAGGAAAGTGGTGCGTCGCTCCGTCGCATCTTCGAAGCGGATGGTGTAGCCCACTTCTTTGGAGAGCGTGAGGTCCATCTCTTCCGCCACGCGCTTGGCTACAGACATGGCTGCTACACGACGAGGCTGCGTGCAAGCTATCATCAGCGGAGCCTGCACGCCATCCGATCCCACCGATTTGCGCATGTGCGGCAAGTCCGAGTACGCCACAAACTGCGGGATCCTGATTGAACGAGAGCGCAATCAGCAAAGGCAAAGCACTGGCCCCCCCATCAAGATTCTTCTCAAACCCCTGCAGACTCACTGAGTAGTCTTTCCACTTCCCGTCTCTC